CTCTCTCTGTCTGTCTGGCGAGCGCACGTGCCCTATAGCAAAAAACCTCTCCAAAAAGAAAAAAAAAAAAATGAAATGTTAAGAGTGATTATCTGAGCCAGCCCCGTAGCTTAAGCACTGTGCATTGAAAGCTAGATCCCACATGATTGATCATGGTTTGAATCCTGACCCCAGTGCTGATTAACATGCCAGGTACATGTAAGCGTGTGACCAAAATTCAGACAGGACGGAGGAAAAAGGATTACATCAGGACCAGACCCCACTGGCAATGCTTTGTCTCCAACTCTGTCTCTATCTCTGAGCACATGTACCCTCTGACAATTAAAAGAAAAATGTGTGTGTGTTAATGTGTATATAAAAGAGTGGTTATCTGAGTAAAAAGCTTGTAATGAAAGCAACAGGATATACAACTATATAGACGTTAAGACCCCAGTTTTTCTGGAAAGAATAATAAAAGGGATAAAGAAAGGGAGGGTAGGGAAGGAGGAAAAGCAAGGGAGAGAAATAGAAAGTCCCAGAATTTTAAAATGGGGTTCAAATCTAGATGGCATAATAATAATTTTATTTTAATGTTATACTTTTCTACATTTTTAAAAGCATTTTTATAATGAACATGTATTGCTTAAGGAAAGAACGGCTGGACTAGCTCACATAGAGCAGTTAAATGCTGTGCATAGAAAGCCAGATCCCATACGGCTGATCTCGGTTTGAATCCTGGTCCTGGGGGCTAAAAACACACAGGGCACATGTGTGTGCATGCTCCAAATCCTGAGGGGATGGAGAATTGGGGGAGGAATTGTGACATGACCATCCATACCCCATTAGGGGGTGCTTTCCCTTTCTTACTCTGTCTCTCTCTCTCCCTAGCAAGCATACAAACCCTCTGGCAATTAAAAATGTAAAAGGGAAAAAAGGCTATTCAGTAAATGTTAGTATGGTACTCTGCTGGGAATTTTTTTACCCAACAAATCGATAAACCAGCCATATCAGTAAGCTGGTACGTCCCAGTTTAGATATTAGGGGGAAATGAAGTTAATGCTTTTGTTTTAACATAAAACTGAATTTGGTCCTAAAAAGATATTTGGTGAAGTTAAGTATATTCATGGATTCCTTTCTCAGAATCATGATCCCATTCCTGTGTTCGGAAGACTTACGATTGCATGAAGGCCGAACAGAAGTCAGATACTATCTCTAGTTTAAATATTGTATGAGTCAGTCATCCCCTCCCATATATGTGGAGAACAAATGGTCACACTGACACTGTCACTTAAGACCTTCTAGAGGTATAGACCAAGGGAGAAACCTCCTTCCTCAATATAAGCTGAGCAGTCTCCTCCCCTAAGACACCTCACAGCTGGCAATGATGCCCAGCTGGCTTCCTTCCACCTCATCACAACCACAGCGGCACCACTAGAGGGCAGGCGGGTTCACTGACCCAGAAGCCTGATGGCTGTGGGCAGGAACACACCTCACTCTGGCCTACTTCAGACCTACCAGCCAACAGGGTCTGTGACTAACATCTGGAAGTTTTGAGGAATGCTGCTGTCCACCTGCATTCACAAAAGCAATAAAGGCTGTATCCATCCAAATTGAAATGCTGCTTTTAAGTGATACTAAAAAGATTACCTTTTCTTTCAAAGCTTTCCTCTCTGACAAAGCAAACCAGAGCCAGGAACTTTGTCACTTCTTTTAAATAAAGAACTGTTGTATTATTCAACTTTATAATAGCCGTGGATTCCTTGTCATAGGGGGTTCCTGCTCCATCTTCTTTGAGACTAAATAGGGATAGAAACCAAACCATATGTGACCATTGAGAAAGCACTACAAATTGTAACCCAGTGACAGAAACTATCTTTAACATACAGAAAATGATAGTCATAATGATAAGTAATTTACACTTACAGTGCCCTTCAGCAGATCTTAGAAATACACAGTTACAGGAATATACATCATCTAGGCCAGCTTGGTGGCACAGTGTTTGGAGCAGCTGGATTCCACACAGCAGACTGCACGGTTTGAGTCCCAGGCCCAGGGGCTTGAAAAATATGCTGGTTGCATGTGAATGCATGTGAAATGCTCAAAATCCCAAAAGGAGAATGGAGGAGAAGTAACTGAGGCATGTTCATCCCCTCTGGGGTGCTTTCTCACTTTCTCTCTGTTTCTCTGACTTGCCAGCAAGTGCCCTATAGCAAATTTTAAAAAAGAAAAAAAGAATACACATACTTTATGATAGTCACTTTCCTACTGACACAGAGAATGGGCAACTCGTCAGCTACCTGAGGACCATAGGTGAAAGCTGGAGTTAGCTTTTCTCCCTGCTGCAGTCAAGGGCTTTTTGTTCTCATGAGAGAATAGCCAGGCTGTCAAAAGCACAGTCTGTTGAAAGACCAAGCAGGGCTAAAGAATTACTTTAAATTAAAGGAGTAATAAGATCTGATAGCCAAATGCTGAACTTAGATCCCAGATCAGGAAAAAAACTGCTGTAAAAGATAGAATTGGGGATCACCAGGTGGCATAATGGATACACTGCTGAAATCCCATGTAAGTCTACGATGGTTTGAGTCCCAGACCCAAAAATCACAAAAGTCTACTATGGTTTGAGTCCCAGCTTAAAAATCACACCAGGCATCTGTGCATGCATGGCCAAAATCCCAAAAGGAGAATAGAGGAGAAGGGATTGCAGTGTGGCCATCCTCCCCCAGGGGGTAATTTCTCGTTTTGTCTCTGTCTTTCCAGTGAGTACACACACCCTACAGTAAAAATCCCTCTCAAAAAAAATTGGAGGTCCAGTCCCTAGTGCAACTTTTTTTTTTTAGAATTATTTTATCTAACTTTATTTATTTGTTTGTTTGTTTTTTATTTGACCAGAGATGTATAGAGAGAGGGAGGGAGGGAAAGTGAGAAAGCAAGCCGCCAGGTCCGGGACTCAAACCTTGGTTGGTTTGTGGGAGTCCAGCACCCTTAACCACCATGCCACCTGCCAGTTCCCTGGTAGTATAACTTTAAGCACAGTGCACAGGGAGTCAGATCCCACCCAGTCAACCATTGTTCAAGCCCCAGTGGCTTGAAAGACACACCGGGTGTGTGTGCACATGTACCCAAAATCCTGATGGGATGGCGATAACAGAGGAAAAGGATTGAGAAGTGACCATGCCCCATCGGAGGGTGTTTCTCTCTTTCTCTCTGGCGAGCACATATTCTGTGTTAACTGTGCCCATCCCCCCCCCAAAAAAAAAGAAAGAAAGAAAGAAAAGAAAAAGAAAAAAAAGAATTGGGACCATTGGTAAAATCTGAATATGGTCTATGTACGAGGATTCTATCAAAAAGTTCATGGAAAATGTGTATTCTAAAAAAATTGTGTGGATTAAAAAATTTCTTTGCACCAAAATAAATTCATACTTTAATTCTATTTTTCCATGAGCTTTTTGAAGACTCCTCATCTATTAGACAATAAAGTAATGTAGTCATGCTGTGTTTGCTTAATTTGATCATTAAACCATGATTCTGAAAGAGAATGTCCTTGTTCTTAACAGATAGCATGCTCAAGTAGCTAGAGTCAAAGAATCATGGCCTACAATCTCAACTGGTTAAGCAAAAGCAAATCATATGTATTAGAAAAAGCAAAGTTATAGCCAGTATAATAAATTGATAAAAACTGGCAAATCCCCCTGAAGGGTATATAGGAGCAAGGAGCTAGTCTCTCATATTTTCTGTAGGTTTGAAATTTTTCAAAATAAAAAATTAATTGGGACCAGCTGTTAGCATAATGGCTATGTTGCTGGACTCCCATTTAGTCAACCGTTGTTCGAGTCCTGGACTCAGTGGCTTATACTCATGCCTGGCACGTGTGCATGCGTGCCCAAGATCCCAAGAGGAGAATGGAGGAGAAGGGATTGCGGCATGGCCATCCCCACTGAGGGTGATTTCTTGCTTTCTGTCTCTCTGTCTTTCTGGCGAGCACACGTGCCTTATAGCAAAAACTTCTCCAAAAAAAAAAAGAAAAAAAAATCAATTACATATATCAATCTATTTAGGAAAAGGTGTGGTCTGCAAACACAGATGATTTGGATTTGAATACCAGCATGAGCTTAAACAAGTTGAATAACTTCTTTGAGCCTCAATTTCCCCATCTGCAAATTAACAATTACTTGAAAGGTTCTTTACAAAGATTAAATGGCATAATACATATATAGCATTCAGCTTAATTTATGCACTAAAGATATATAAAATGCACAATAAATGTTAAGTGCTATCATTATGATAAAAAAGGGACCTTTGGGGACCAGCAAGTGGCATAGTGGTTAAGGCCCTAAACACTCCCACATGGCTGACCATGGTTTGACTCTTGGAATTGGTGGCTTGCTTTCTCACTTTCTCTCTCTCTCTCTCTGTTTCTCTCTGGTAACGTTAAAATAAATAAAATGAAATAAAAACAATTATAAAGAAAATATTTTTAAAACGGACCTTCTAGGGGCCAGTAGGTGGTGTGGTGGTTAAGGCACTGGACTCCCACCACAGTTTGGGTCCCAGATCTGGCAGCAACTTGCTTTCTCACTTTCTTTCTCTTTCTCTCTCTCTCGGGTCAAACTAAAATAATAATAATAATAATAATAATAATAATAATAATAATAATAAAATCAAGTAAGTAATTCTTTAAAAAGAGAAAAAGAGAAACATTCTAAAGACACTAATCAAAGTTATACATCCCTTCTTCATATACAAAGAAGTACTTTCTTACACCTTTCCCCTGGTCTAAAACTGTGTATAAGTTTTCTGATTTATTTTTACTTCTTGAATTTATGAATCATTGGCCAAAAATTAGATTTAAGTAGAACTGCACTAAACCTTATCACTTTCACATGTTAAACATTTACTATGTGTTGGGCACCATTCTTAGTTCTTGCCATGCATTACCCACTGTCTGACACAGAAACCCTCTAAGCTAGGTAATGAGGAAGCTGGGGGAAGATACAATGACTTGGTCAAAACTGATGGCAGGAGTTAAGACCTCAACTCTATATCTGACTAATTTCAGAGTAAACACTCATAAGTATCACAAGGGGGTAGAGTGACAAGTCAGATTTAATGAAAAGCCTTAATTATAGAGTTGTGGTTTTTTTTAAAGAAAATGTAGGTTTTTAAGTTTTGAGATTATTTCAAATTGGCATTGGGTCAACTTTGTCGTATAATGGTTAAGGGAAACTGAATTCCATATGACTGGCCAAGATTCAAATCCCAGTCCCAGTGGCTTGAAAAACACCCCAGCCACATATACATATATGCCTCACATCCTGAGAGGACAGAGAAATGGGAGAGAAGGAATTATGATGTGACCACGTCCACTACAGGGTACTTTCTGATGCTTTCTCTCTCTCTTGCTCCCTTTCTCTGTCTCTGGTATGCACACACACCTTTGGGTTTAAAACAAACAAACAAAAAACTAGCATATACATGGTTACTTAAAAGTTAATTATAATGGCCAGTATATGGTGTAGTGGTTAATTAAGATGCTGGATTCCCACATGGCCAACAACAGTTTGAGTCCTGGACCCAGCAGTTTGAAATTCATGCCATGAGCATGTACATGTGTGCCCCAAATCGTGAGAGGAGAATGGAGGAGAAGGGATTTTGGTGTGGCCATTCCCCCTGGGAAGGGGGGGGTAATTTCTCACTTTCTCTCTCTATCTCTATGTCTCTCCAATGAGCACACGTGCCCTATAGCAAAAATCTCTCTTAAAAAAAAAGGAAATTGTATAAGTTCCTTTTTAAGAAAAGGATCGAACTCATTCTAACTTGTCAAAACATTAAGGAAAAATCTTTCATTTTTAATCAGATGTTAAAGAAGCTTTAATAGAATTCTTAACTTCCTTTGCACTGTTTTTAGCTACTATGTTTTCAGAACAAATTTCTCTTGCTATGGAATTTATACTGAAAACCAAACTGGAACCTTCAACACTTTTTTACCCAATGAAGAAAACCACATTTTAAATTTCTAGGTAAATCTGATACTATATAGGAAACTGAAATTGTGTTTATTAGCAGCATTTAATAACATGGGAAAATTCTTGGCTTATAATGTTAAATGTAAAAAATAGAATATAAATTATGTATACTAAGTAATCTCATTATCCTAAAAATTACAGACATAAATAAAAATTAAATATATAAAAATGTTAATGGTGTCACAAGGTAGTGAGATTGTGCACTATTAAAAAAATTTAAATATGCTATAGGGCACATGTGCTTGCTAGAGATAGAAAGGTAGAGGGAGGAAGCATCCCCATGCCCCCTTGGGGGGATGGCCATGGTGCAACCTCTTCCATTCTCCTCTCCATTTGGGCGTACATGCACATGCACCTGCTATCCTTCTCAGGTTGCTGGGTCTGGGACTCAGCTGTGCTTTCGGCCATATGGGATCCAGCCACCTTAACCACCATGCTACCTGCTGACCCTGGACTATTTTAATTTTAGTCTTTAAACTTTTATATATTTTCTTCAACAAGCATGTATTACTTTATAATCAGAACAAGTAAACATTAAATTAGAAAGACAAAAGGACCCAAAAAATTATAAGTAGAAATGAATGAGGTTTTGCAACTTCACTAACTATGCTCTACTACCCACATTTTCATCTACAAGCAATGACAACTTATGAAGATGGAACATATTTTAAAGTGTGTGTGCATGCACGTGTGTGTGCGCACATGCATGTATGTATGAGATTTGTGGATAGAATCACTGGTTGTGGCAGAACCTCAGCTGAGGTTCCTATGATACCAGGTTGCCTGCTTCTAGAGACTGCTTGTCTCTCAGGCAGCAAGACCTCCAGTTACAGGGCTACCTGCTTCCTGAGCTGCCTAAGGGGACCTCAGCTCCACATGCTGATCCCTGAAAGTTCACTTGTCTGGTTCGTTGCTGCCCCAGCAAACAATCAGAAGAAAGCTCAGAGCCCAGGAAGCATTTGTGATCCAGGCTGGTTCTTACTGAACCCTGTGGGTTCTCAGGAACTCAGCACTCTACCACAGAAAAACAATCTGAGAGCAAAGCTCAGCTTCTGCCTCCCAACCCCCTCCCCCACCATGTTTGTTGTAGCTGGGTAAAGGTAACGCTGATGAACATCGTTGACATGAACAACTTGCCACTTACATCTGATTACCGTATGGCACAATAATGATCTGCTATTAAATTTTTGCCAGATTAATTGTGTTGTTCATTGCACTTGATTACCAAAGCAATCTAGACTGTAATCAGGGTGCATTCAGCCTCTCAATTTCAAGGTCATGCATTTAGAGTTTAAAAATAATAGAATGCTTCAGGGCAGTAATCTTGAGAAATAAGATCTATTTCTAAAGCCAGGTGGCAGCATTTACTAAGAACAATATTAACAAGTCATGGCAGCTGTATTTATCCAGGGTCTACCAGATGAAGACAGTGTGAGCCTAGTGGTATCACATCCTCATTACAATCCTGTGAGTTATCACTTTCCTTATTTCAGAATGGAAGGGACCATGTGTGTGCACAAGCATGCACTTGAGTGCGTGTGTACGTGCACGTGTGTTTGTGTGTGTATAGCAGAGTTAACAGAAGCTGAATTGAGTGGGCAGAATATTTTCAGACAAGTAGAAGAGAGAAATGGCAATAGAGACTCTGACAGAAGCTGGCAGAAAAAGAGTCAAGCTATGTGAGGCAGGTCACAGGGGGTGGGTAAAGGGAAGATGACTAAAAATTCCATATCAACAATTAGATGAGAGCATTAGATCCAATATAAATAGAGAGTAACACCTTGATGTTCATTAAGATAGAAAAACTAGTTGACATCTATTCACTCTGCATAAGATCTGTTCAAGGGCCTGGCACAAGACAAGGTGGCTAAGGGCACTGAACTCCCACATGCCCAATCACAGTTCGAGTCCTAGCCCTGCGGCTTGCTTTCTCACTGTCTCTCTCTCTCTCTCTCTCTGTCCCTCTCTGGTCAAATTAAAAGAAAGGAAGGAAGGAAGGAAGGAAGGGAGTGAGGGAGGGAGGGAGAAAGGAAGGAAGTTAAATACTTTTTTTAAAAAAAGAATATCTGTTCAGTATACTTATAATTATATAGAATTGTTTTTATGTCTGGTAACATAATAAATTTTCCCCACTCTATTTATTTTATATTATTTTAAGTATACAGAAAGTTCTGTTTTCTGAGGATGTAATTATAATAGCAAATAAAGCATGCAATGTTGCTCACTTAGTTTTATAATTCTTTGCTGCCCATAAAATAATCAAAAGAATATATTTTAAAAACCTAGCAGTGGGATCAGCAGGTGGTGTGGTGGTTAGAGTGCTGCACTCCCATGTAGCTGACTGAGGTTCAAGTCCTGGACCCAGTAGCTTGCTTTCTTGCTTTCTCTGTCTGTCTCTCTCTGGTGAGTGCATGTGCCCTATAGCAAATTTAAAAATAATAATAATAAATAATCTTTTAAAGGAAGGAAATGTTAATCTGTGATTTATTTGGAGTTCAAGGATCTATCAACCTCTTTCAAGTGTATATAATATAATGACACGTTGACAGATTTTTCAGCAGAAAATTAGGAATCAGACCTGAGTTCAAACTCCAGCTCCATTATTTAGTGACAGTATGAATAGGGGTTAGGAACTTAACAACTCTGAACCTCAGTTTCCCCATCTATAAAACAGGTATAGTAAGTCCTGCCTTATGGAATAATTGAGAATTAAGTGATATATGCATACAATAAAATTATTAGCATAATGTCAGGCATCTACTTAATACGAATTTATTATTATTAATATTATTGTATGCTAAATAGTAATGTATAGGTCTCAGTCATTTCAAACAAAAAATATTATTTAAAACAAAAGTCAACTAAGTAAATGCAAAATGCCTCAAAGCTGATGAAAGAGAAGGAGGGCTTGATTGTGGCCTTTGAGAATGTTCTACTCACCCATAAATACAAGAGATGTCAATAACCACATCTATCATATCACAGCAGAGCTCATAAGTCTGCATATCCACTGGAGTGCTATCAGTAGCAATATAAATTTTACTGACCACATCAAATAGAAATGCCTTTTCAATTCCAGAATTCTGAAACAAAAAGAGATCTTGCCTTAAAATGACAGCTGATTTCAGACCACATCATGCTTACATAAAATCATGTATCATCCTCAGTGTAAAATATGAATGAGCAAAAGTTAAGTTACTAAACATTTAAGTTGTATCATTTCATTATAATTTAAACTTCATGGTCCTGTTTCATTATAATGGATTTACATAAGAAATAAGCAGAGTTACAAATTACTTATTTTAGGTAAACAAACTGGATTGTTTTTCTTAACTTTTAGAGATGTACCTGCAGTTAGGAAAACTCCAGGTAAACCATTAATTTTACTGACTGCAAATTTAAAATTAAATTTTAGAAATCTAAATAGACTCACTCAAACCTGTGTAGTGACAGAGTAAATGTGAGTACAACCAACAGGTCTGCTTCAATTCAACTCTGCAATGCCTGTGTAGATTTGGCAGTTTCTAGGCCTCACCCCACACAGTCCGTGTTAAACTTATCAACAGATATTCAATAGTATGTATCTTATTGACAAAACCAAGTTTTGTGCTCCCTACCTCTGGTAGAGCTCTCTCTATCTGAATGATTGCCTGTAACTTGAATAAGCGTTCAATTATACCAGAGAAGTAACGGACTCCATTCTGGGAATTAAGTTTTAAAGGATTTAAAACAATATGCAGGAGTAACCTTCAAAAGTAATATTTACATACCCTCAAGATGCTATAAGAGCAAGCAGAAATAAGATCCTTTTTCTCTCTTGCTATGTCATGCACAAATCCTGCAAATGACTCTAACAGGAGTATATTATTTACTTACCGAGATAAAGATGTTTAGCAAATTCTCCAGAGTTGGGAGTTGTGGAATCAGTTTCTGGACCACTTTGCTAAAAGCTTCAAATATTGAGTGATCATATATGCTTGTCAGATAAAAGCTGAAAAGAAGAGATAATATTTTATCATGTTTTCCCTTTGAGGGATAGATTGCTTGGGCTATGTCATAATATCACTTCTTTCTGCCTTCTGACACACTTACTAGCCCTCTGCAGAATTTGAAACTAACTTGAGAAAAAGTGTGTATATCTTTTTTTTATCTTTTTTCTTTTTTTTTGAGAAACTGATTTTTTTCTATAGATGTATACATTCGCCAGATAGAGACAGAAAGTGATAAATCACCCCCCAGGGGGATTGCTATGCCACAATTCCTCCTCCTCCATTCTCCTCTCAAGATTTTGAGCATGCACACATAAGTGCCCAGTGTGAGTTTCAAGCCTCCAGGTCCAGGACTCGAACCACAGTTGACCATGTGGGAGTCCAGCAATGTAACCATTATGTCATCTGCTGGTCCCAAAAGTGAGTACATCTTAACAATTCATTCCTCCCCACTGCCCAAAAACCAATTCTCATGGGTGCCTATTCTCACCTGCAGACTGGCAAGCTTAAAAAGGTAAGCAGTATGTGTCCATACCAACTTCTTTACATCTGGAAGAGAATCCACACCAGGCCATCTTTACACAAGCCTCTTAGGTTGTCCAGTTAGTAACTTACATTCTTGATATTGGAGTATCTGATGTTTTTCACCTTCTGCTTTACAAAATAAATTATACATGTCCTATCCCAGGAAAAATGGTTTTCCTCTTTGAGTATTCCTATTTCAATTCTTTCTTTACTTATAAATATAATAGATGTTATCACATTTATTAAGAATTGTAAACTTTAGCATTAGTTAGCTTCTTGAATTATATTCATGGGTTTTATGTTATATGTTATTTATATGAGGGAAGAATCTTAGCTTTGACCATTTATTAAAAACACAAAAGCCAGGGTATCCCATAGTGCGGCAGTTAAAAGCTATGCAGAGGAAGCTGGATCCCACATGGTCGACCAGGGTGCAAGTCCCAGCTCCGGTAGCTCACATGCCAGGAACATGCCCGGGATTTTGACAGGATGGAGAACTGGAGGAAAAAGGGTTGTGGCATGAACAGGTCCAATGAGGGTGCCTTCTCTCATACATGCACACATACCCTCTGGCATTAAAGAAAAAAAAAGACACCAAAACCACTGCTTTCACCAAAGATTAAAATGAGCACATGCAAAGCTCGGTATCTTAAATCCTATCCTACTGTCTACATCACAAAACAGAATAATCAAGGGAGATTATTGCTCGTGTCAAGCCAGCTGTGGTACTTGGATCCCAAACCTGCATGTTTCCATCCTTTCCTGAGGTTTCCATTCTCACCTGAGGTGGATTTTTTCTAATCCAGCATCTGCAAGATCGTCATTTGCCCTCTGGTGAATATCCCTTTGGGTTTCAATTTTGTGGTCATCTGAGAGACCATCCACTTTATGAATAAACACCTCGAAGTTGATATCAGTGTTCACTTTGTAGGCCCTGGTCACAGTGAGGTGAAGCCTGGCCAGGGCTTCCATGTAATCGTCCTAGAAATAAAGGTAATGCCTGTCAGAGGAGGCTGCTTGTCTTCTAGAACCTTCTACATGCATTTTTCATCTGGAAACCCAAAACATTTTGCAAATGTCCCACCCAAAAAAAGTTGGCTTGTAAAATTCAAGTTTGAAAAATTAAGGTTTGTTAAAAAGAAAAAGAAAGCCACACACACACACAAAGCTACTGTAGGCAATTATGATTTAGGTTAATAGCCAAAAAGATCAGAGCTGTAGCTTCAGAAGAGGAACTGACTCCATTCTTCCAAGGACCTTCTCTGGAATATTTTCCAGCTTGTTTAGTCTCTTGACTGAACTGTGATGAACAGTACAAGGTGCAAACCTTATATGAGTCACTGGGAGAATGGAGAAGCTAGGGGGCTCCATTCTAGGAATTGTTGGTCCAGGAGGACCAGCAGTTAGCGTAATGGCTATATTGCTGGACTCCCATGTAGTTGATCTCAGTTCAAGTCTTGGACCCGGTGGCGTGTGTGTGCGTGCCCAAGAGCCCGAGAGGAGAATGGAGAAGAAGGGATTGTGGGGTGGCCATCCCCCCTGGGGGGTGATTTCTCGCTTTCTGTCTCTATGTCTGTCTCTGTCTCTCTGGCGAGCACATGTGCCCTATAGCAAAACAAAAACAAAAACAAAACAAAACAAAACA